TATATTTCAAACCCCTGTAGAATTTTTTTTGCTGTGGGTCTTCTCCGTGGTTTAGTGGTAGGAGCTATGGACTTATCTGCTTGATAACAAGCAGAAGTCATTTGAAAACATAGATGCCCTTACTACATATTGCTCCATCGAAAACGTAATCATACGTTAACACTTTTAAAAGCAAATTATACGCACACAGGATTTGAACCCGATTATTTTCAATTTTTTAATCTATGAATTCAAATGCAAAAAGTAGAAACAATCTCTTTGATTGATAGAGTTATCGAGTCGGGATATGAATCCGGTCGTTTTTAACTGTCTCATCTATGAATCCAAATGCAAAAAGGAGGAATAAGCGCTTTATTTGTTAGAGCAATATAGGCGGGATTCGAACCTGATCATTTTAAACTCGCTAATCTATGGATCCCAATGCAAAAAGTAGGAACAAGCGCTTCAATTGATAGATCTATCGAGACGGGATTTAAACCCGATTATTTTAACTCCTTATCTATGAATCTAAATTTAAAAAATAGGTTTTAGGTATTCGGTTTGACTATAAGGTCTATTATCATGCAAAGTTTCAGCAAAATCCCCGAAGAGTAAATCTGAGGTTCTCCTTGTTAGAAAAAATCCGAATATAATTAAATATATAGCATAGATTAGGTCACTCGTTTAATTTCCTTATGCCATTTTTATAGAAGGTCATCACCAGTTTGTAGAACTATTGAAAGTTCTGATTGCTATTATCAATTTACAGTCAATTTGTCATCTAAACCAGCCATAATTATATAATGACATTTAAAAATCTGTATTTTATTGCTGTAAGTAGATAATTATAATAGAGAATCCCAGATGAGCTAATAATTTATAATTTTTATTTTCTTTCAATTTCATGTAAATAAAATTTTTTCGCGCACAAAACCGAATGCTGTGTAAATAAATTTATTGTAAATAAATAGTTATAACAGAGAATCTCAGATGAACTTCAGGATCAGCTTCGTGGTCATTTAAACATTTTGAATTTGAATGAAAAATTGAAAATTTGAACAGCTCAAAACTGAATGTTGAATATTCGAAAAGTTGTGATTCTTTCAGATTCAAATTATAAATTTGTACTAAATTAATTTAGATAATTCATTGAATTTACAATAACTATAACTAATGCTTCCAAACATGGTAAACTCTTAATTGAGCAAAACTTCAACATTTTGCCGTTTGGTAAATCGCCGACTTGTGTTTAGATCACTACGATAATATTCACTTTTTGAATAATTTTATCTGATTCATTTTTTAATGACATCAATGGCTTTCTATTTCCTCAAAACCTGATTTATTTCAATTAAAATTGTCTTGCATCATGTCAATAGGCGTCCTGTCAATTATTTCTATTTTATAATTTAATGTCAATTATTTCTATTTTATTATTTAATCGCGCACCATAATGGTATTACAACAAAACAGTAAACATTTGGTAACCTAACAAAAGCATTTGGTAATTAATCACACAATAATTATTCATAATTAGACAATATTTTTGCACCACCAGATCGCAGCCCGCTTTGATGCGTTTACATATTGAAACTTTACCAGTTTAGTCATTTGTTGCCATAATTCGGATATTATATATTGAAGCATCTATAATTTATTGAATAATAATGAATTTTGTTGGGTATGACATATTTACATTCATAATGTATAGTGTAATGTGTATTGATTGTAGCTGTGGGAGCGTTAATGACAGAAGACCGCGGATTATTCACATCGAAACTCTGCGGAAATTTAGTTCATTTGTTTGTGTTATGAATGGCGTTATCATTTTCTATATCACATAATTTGTAATTAATAATAATTTTACAAAGCTATACTTCTCTTTCATTCTATACTTTATTTTGCGTTAGCTTTATAATGTGCAAGCCCGCAGTTTTGTCTCATAAGTGATTAATTGTTGTTATATATTAACTTTGCATAATAATTTTCAAAGTGATGTATAAAATATGACAAACAATAACTGATATATTTTATATACATACTAGCCGACCCGACAGACTTCGTCCCGTCAAAAAAATTTGTGATGTGGCGGTGTTTTGTTCCTACCTTTTTATATTCTTTTCAAAAAATTATCCTGAACAGAACGGTCACCCTGGTAATAATTCGGTGTAAATTAAAAATAATTGAATGAAACACTATAAGCATTTAAAGTAAGTAATTTTAATCATGTAAATCATAATTCAAAAATCAGTTCTATTTTTAGTGTAGTGCTTTGTGATAAACGATGTTTTTTGTTTGATTACTTCGCGCATAGACAAACAAATCTTTTCCAATACGGGAACAGGCAACATACAATTGAACATGTGAAAAACATGAGTTTTCCAAATTAATACCACAAACACTTAATGATACCATAAACGCACTGGAAACTATAGTCGTTTAAACTCAAATGACACATCAGTCGGAATCTTTGGGATGCACGGTATGAAAACATCTTTTCCTTTATACTTTCCAATCAATATAGTTGCTTCCATCACGTTGTTTAGTAGTTTTTTTATCGCTAAATTTGTGCGGTTGCAAAGGCGCGTTTTAATTGAAGATTGTGAGATGATCCTGGTAAATCCATCGAGTTTAAAAATTCCGGTGGATAGTTAACTACATCGTCTTAGGTTAGTTGCCAAATCAACTGCTCTATATATCATCGATTCGCCTGCAATTCTTGAATTTTAAAATTTAATTCTTTTACATCAATGTTTTGGCTGCCAATATAGCTCGTTAATTAATAGAAAAATATTTCTATGTTTATAAAAATATATTAAAAATTAGATTATCAAAAACTACACAAAATGTCATGACATGAATAATTGTTTTTTCTACAAATTCCGTTGCCTACTTGATTCCCACATATATTGTAAATGTATGTATGAGAAAAAGAAAAGAGCCGTTTTTAGGGATTTTCCGAAAATTATTCGATTTTTTCTTGCCGTAAGAACCATCCCTGGACTTCAACGAATATTTTAAAAATATAATTGGCCAAATTGGTCCAGGCGTTGTTGAGTTATGCGCTTACCAACACATTTTGCGTTCCATTTTTATATATAAGAAGATGTAAATTCATATTTTACATTTATATATTTTTCAAATTAATAAACTTTTCAAATCGTGAAGATAAATAAAAAGTCTTCTCTCCGTTTCGTTGCCGCGATTTCTCTTTGTGTAAACACGATACTATCGTCTAATTTTTTATCCTTTTGAATGTTTTTGAAATATTTGAATTTAAAATGATTTCAGTTTCATAAAATACGTTTGTTACACTAATCAAATAAATTTATTATCGAGCGCCGTTGTAAATTTGCTCGGTCCCCACAAATCCAATTTATCACGTTGCCGCTAGATCTGGTTCGATAAATAGGCAATCTTGTATTCGCTTCAAGAATTCTTACCTTCTGCATAAATGATTGGAAATAACCGGATTGCGATTGAAACTGAATTGATTACAAAATTTTTCAATCTATTCAAACGGTATAAATCACAATGGCGGTGCAATTTTTCTGCTTTCATGCATTTTTCCGTGTTTATAAAATATTTCTGACATTGCAGGATTATATCCAGCATATTGCATATATGAAGTTATTGATTCTGACTCCATTTTATGTATTCATATCTTTAAATTGAAATTGTTTTATATTTTGGAAATAATAATTGATGGTCAAATTAATATATGAAATAGTTTCTACTCGACAATACTTTTGCTCCACCCGGTTTGTCTCCTGAGGGGGCGTCCATTAATCACGTGATCGATTTTTAAGGATTTTCGGATGCTCCCTCCCCTTGGTGATACGTTGTAATATTCAAAATTAACTCCTTTCTCCACCGAACATTACGTGTGTTTTTAGTTATGAGAAAAAAATGTGAAAATGTTTGGAATTTAAAAAAAATAAATCAGGTAAAAAATAAATACACGTGAAAATAATTAAAAAATAAATACCCCTACCTTTCCCACGTGATATTTTGTGATTTTTTGTCAAACCCCTCCTTCCTCCAAAAATTTCACATGATTAATGGACCATCTCTGAATTAAAGAAGTAATTTATTTTTAATACCTAACATTTGTAAATGAATATTCGCAATGATAACACAGGTTCACAGAAGAGTTGTCTGGATTGGGTGTGCGACATAAAAATTAATCTAAAGGCCAAACTGGGGTTCAAACTGGAAAAATGGAAATTTAAGACTCTAAATCAGTTCATGTTACTTTTACCTTACGACAAGGTTCATGCCCCTGCTGAATTGTGATTTGGTTCCTGTATCCAATGTAGTTAAATATCTGGGAATACATTTAGATAGAAGACTAACCTGGCATGAACATATTCTAAAGAAGCGCCAGCAGCTTGAATTAACACGTAGGCAACTTAATTGGTTAATGGGCTCGAAATCACAAGTCACAATAGAAAATGAACTTCTAATATACAAGACAATTATTAAACCAATATGGTTCTACGGCCTACAACTATGGGGTGCGGCCAGTAAATCGAACATAACTATTCTTCAAAGGTTCCAAAATAAAATTTTGAAAGAAATCGTGAACACTCCAAAATACGTTCTCAATTGGTTGATACATCAAGATCTCAGAATTTGAACTATATAAAAAGAAATTAGTCTTTACTGCTCCAGATACTAAGCTCGTATAAGTCGTCATCCACACGAATTAGCGTGTGATCTGCTCAAGCCTTTACCACCAAAGCGTCTCAAAAAATGAATCTGCAATGATTCACTACAAAATATCACATAACATCTAAGAAGGTGCCATCGCAGGAAAGCGATCCTTCTCACGCAGTCAAATAATATATACCTCTAATAAAATATAGCTGAATGTAATTTGTATAGTTTGCTATGAAAAAAAATAAATCGACAAAATCTATGATCTAGAAATTTTCTGCATAATAATTAAATTCTTATATTTTCTGTCGTTTCCTGGTTTTTCAATCCCTAATCTAAATATTATTTTTTCCTCTTTCTAGCAAAACTGGACGGTGTGAAGACCTACATGCGCATCAGACGGGTTCCTCAGAAGCTGCAATTCAAGGTGATAAAATGGTTCGATTATCTATGGTTGACGCAAAAGTGTTCGGACGAAGAACGAGCTGTCAGCTGTCTGCCGGATAAATTGAAAGCAGAAATTGCTATCAACGTTCATCTGGACACGCTGAAACGGGTCGAAATATTCCAAAACACGGAAGCTGGATTTCTCTGCGAGCTCGTGCTCAGACTGAGGCCTGTGCTGTTCTCACCAGGAGACTTTATCTGCAGGAAAGGTAAAGGAAGTTAGAAATATTAGTGTAGATATACGAATCTTTAAATATTATCAATATTACAAAAAATTTATGTAATCGATTGAAATATAAATCCGCCATTGTTCTGATCAACTTATCACATAGTTTTCATATGTATATAAAATATGTTTTCAATTGAAAATATTTTGCATTAGGCTTTCATGATCCGAGTTGGAGTTTAAAACTACCCGCAGACCTACCCTTGGGCAAAGCACAGATTGTTACTATATAAATATATAAGAAAGATATCATGCAAATATAATTTATCCCTTTTCAGCAACAGCGAACTAATAGTAACTAGTGCAAACATAAAAAATGTATCTTGCGTTGGTATTATTTACAATAGACAATTTTTTTCTAAATTTTATTTTATTATCATATATAAAAAAACAGAACATAACAAGTCTTGTGTGACTTCGCTGATTTTTTAATGACATGGTTTTAATTATGGCAACTCAAACAATCTTCTATCTCTATGTGATGAATTTGTTATTACAACTTTTCTATAATAATGATGAAGTTTTTATTGGTGCAACAATTTTGGGGAAAAGCTATTTTTACTGTAAAATATATTGTCATCTATACTTACAAATAAAATTTTATGTCGCTACTGCTTGACATCAGCCTGCCCGTGGCTGTAACTACTTGGCTACTGGAAGCCCACATTTTAATTACAGCTTGAAAACTGCTTCAAAGTAGACGAACCAAAATGTTTTCAATTAATTGAAATTTCAAATTTTTGGATAAAAATAGCAAAATCAGGAGCCTACTGTAGAATTGAACAAGGGCACAATATAACAATAATCGATTTTTTATATAATACTACTTCCGTATATTTAATTATTACTAAGACATTGTGATGCTTTCATTTATATGATATATAGTATGTTTTTAAACCTTCTGAGCTTAACTAATATTGAAGCAGTACTCAGAGGAGTAAAGACTTATTTTTTGTTGAATTTTCGAGCATTTTTGATTATTATTTAGTGTCATTAAAAACAGGACGTACCATATGCACGAAACTTTGTATAAAATAATGTTTTTGTTTAAATAAATAAAGAATGTTGAAGAAAAAGGAGACATTTAGTAAAAATTATAATAGTTTAGTCATTATAGTAAGTTTACCTTGGAATTCGAGATACCCAACTGGTAATGACACTCTACCATATGTAGGTTTTGAGACAACTTTAGGGTGTCAATATACAAGTATTTTACAGACTTATAGCTGGGTATCTCAAATTCCGAGATTCTTACCAAATTTACTATAATTAATAATAACTATTCAAAATATTTAACAATATGTTTTTAAACCTTCTGAACTAAAAAAATATTGAAACAGTACTCAGAGGAGTAAAAACTTATTTTTTGTTGAATTTTCAAGCATTTTTGATTATTGTTTATTACCCACATATATGTATATATGGGTCAGTTCTAATCAATATTGAAAATGTTGTATTGCTGATTTGCATATAAAATAGTACTAAAAACTGTCAAAATGCTATGTATTTGCTATGGAATCAGACATTCTGCACATAAAATCTAACTTCTCGCATGTGTTATAAATATACATCGTAAAGATGAACTTATAATAAGATTTTATTTTGACGTTGTGCGTTTTCTAGGATAATTTTCATATGAAACGAGCTTTTGGTACCATTTTATATGAAACAAGCAGCACAACACAGCTTTGGCATTACATTGGTCTATTTCATGGAGAGTTGGCCCAATTTATATGTATATCCATGTGTGTACGCATAATTCTGGGTTAATTTTTATATATCAAATGCCTGACTACATAGAAATCATATAGTATTTTGGCAGTTTTTAGTACCATTTTATATGAAAAAAGCAGTACAACACAATCTTGGCATAACATTGGTCTATTTCACGGCAAAATTGGCCCAATATATACGTGTGTCTATGTGTGTGTGTTCCGTATGTGCATAATTCAGAACTAAATAGGAGGGCAATGCACAAATATTTGATATATGTGTGTCGCCTGCAGGTGAAGTCGGCAAGGAGATGTACATAGTGAATCGGGGCAAACTCCAAGTGGTGGCTGATAACGGCAAGACGGTGCTGGCGACGCTCAAAGCAGGCTCGTATTTCGGCGAAATTAGCATCCTAAACATGGGCACTGCAGGTAAACAACTTGGTAAATATCTAACGACAATTGAACGAACATTACGTAAAAACTTTTTTTAGATTCTTTTATGCGCCGTCCGATCTCCCTACGACCGGCCACCTTGCCGCACTTTTCCGCATTCTATTAATACATAGATGTGTGTCTGTCTGTATTCTTGAACTTTAATTTTTGAATAGAGTTTGTGTATTCTGAAAACTTTATTTTTTTTTTAAATGTCAGTTGCGTACCTTGGCATCGTACAGAAACGGTCGCGGGCGTAAGAGAGCACTCTGGCATATTATTTTATCTGTTTATTTTTGCGGCTGGTTTTATACAAGTTTTATGACATTTTTAAGATCTAAGTGTTCATAGTTTGGTGTGCAACCGCATCATTTACCGCTTGTTTCAACTGAATCATATCAATCACTTGCACTGTATATGAATATTTTTGTTTTTATTTTTACATCGTTCGTTCGTTCATTATGTCGCGATATGTTAAATTTAATCATATTTAACTAAATGAAATCGTACGTTACGATAATTGAGAGGATTCATCATATATCCATGTTATCGTTTCTAGTACACACGCTCAGAGTATCGCGGGCCGATATCATGGGTAAGTAAGTCCCAAAAAACGACCCCTTTGCTCTCAACACATTTCAATTTCAAGACACACACACATTCGTTTGTTTATCGTCTGTCTATTTAATTGTTTTGTAACGCTTCCTATTTCTTATATATCATTACTGCATCGAATCGATAACAGACTCCTGATTGGGAAAAAAATTAAAAAATCATTATTATTTTGCTACTATTATGTCGAATACATATTTATATTTTACAACTTTATATATTCCATACACAACCTTCAGATGAACCATTTTGTTGCCTACAAATAAATCAATTAATATTTCAAGGTCTTTACATGTAAGGTGACCATACCGGATTTGCACCTTGTGTTCCGAGTTTTTGTGATAACAATATTTGTCCCGGATTTAGATTTTTTGTCCCGGATTGTCCCGGGTTTTCGAAAAGTATATGATAAAAGTTGAATCTTTGATCTTACTTGATAATAAAAATACAACCATCAAATATCTGAAAATGGTACGTACAAATAGCAGGCTTATATATATATATATATATATATATATATATATATATATATGTTTTATATGAAACAATAATACGTTATGAATGAGGAAATTGCCGTATACAAAACTCCCAAGACGGGTTAAAATAGCTTCTCACATTAATAATTTTGAACTTTTATTTTCAATTTTACGAAAATTAACACTAATTATGAAAATAAATTTTTTTATCACCTGGAATGCCTGTTAATTATTTTTAAATAATTCTGAATAAAATTAAACAAATTTTATAAAAAGTTTGAAGACTGAAATCCTCAGTCAGTAATTGTAATTAAAAAAAAAATATGGATCTCTAAATCGTTCTGTTATTTTAAAATAATAATACATTTTTTACCATACTACCCCCACCCCCTCCGAATAAGATATACTATGATAGATTAAGAAGTATTACATATAATCAAATAGTAAAATTCTTACTGAAAGTCCGCAATTCTGATTTAAAAAAATATTTTTATAAAAAAAACTATTACACCGTCCCGGATTAGCATAGCTAAAAATTTCCGTCCCGGTTTTGACTTAGAAAATATGGTCACCTTACTAAAATCCTTCACTACTAATAGAAACTTCTATAAGATGTATATTATTTGTAACTTTTCTCCATACCAAAAACCTAATATCTACAACATTCCGCAAACATTTTAATGCATTTTATATTTTCAATATCTACATTTCTGACAAATTACGTTTTGAGGAATTTTCGATTTTATGAAACGTCACTCAGGAATCTGTTATGAGTATGTTAGTCCAAATATCACTTCTCTATTCATACACATTTTTTATCTTATTAATTTTTTTCTTCAATATATATTAAAAAATATTTTCCATCACCTTATTTTGATAGGTATTCACGTAATATTTATATATCGTATACCTCGATATTTTAGCAGATTGATTGAAAACGACGCATGTGACCCCGAGCTGTAGGTTGAAAGTATTTACTTTTGTATTTTCTATTTGGTATTTGAATCGATTGAACCCAGTTTATTATATCTAGCTAGATAAGCTGAAATGGTGTAGTGCTGGATTTATTTAAAAGTAGAACCCCGTAATTAGAGTACAATATTGACCAGGAATCAGTCCTTAATTGCCAAATACCTAATTAGTTATTAGAAGATAATTTAGTCCATTATTACACCACTCCGTTTGATCTGCCTTATATTATGAAATCTTTTGGAATTTAGCATGATTTTTATATTTTCTAAATTTGATATTTTTGAAATATATTGTATTTTTAATAAACTTGAGGAAGAGTATTTGATATTTAATCTTGTTCATTTTGATTAAAAATCAAATGCTAACCGATATCAAAATTAAATGTTGATGTAACAGATAATATAATCATATTAAATCTAAATCAGAATTCGCAAAGTTGCAAATTCTAACCATAAACCTCAAAAATTATACTTAGTAACATATAGATATTTATTTAAATTTTATTAGATTTTTTTGAGATGTAATGGAGCATCTGTGATAAAATTGTTACTGAGTACCTAAAATTGTTGTTTCAAGCTAAGTCAAATTATTATTATGTCATCGAAATTGCTTTTAGTTTTATTAGTTTATTTATAATAATTTAATAATATAGAACTATCAACATTTGATTTTTTATTACCAATCTAAGCCCATGTTTTCCAAATTAACCAATATTGTACATTTATCTATTTTTATAATACCTACAGGTAGTATATTACGATGGGCTTAGATTCAGTCGCATGCATTTATTTATTTATTTATTGTTTCAAATTTTAAGATCCATCATTATTATTATTTTATTTGATTAGGAAATAGAAGGACAGCAAGCGTCCGATCTGTGGGCTACAGTGACCTCTTCGTGTTAAGTAAAAAGGACATGTGGGACGTCCTTAAGGAATATCCTATGGCCAGGATACGACTTGAAGCAATAGCTTCAAAGCGATTGCTGAAATACGAAGGAGATAAGACAGGTAATTATAAATGAATAAAATGATAAATGAATAAAAAAACTTAGCATATATTATAATACGATCGCCAATGTACTTGAAAACGTTATCCTCTTTCATCTCTGAGCATATATAGGTGGAAGTCCCCTAGTGGCGGACACCTAAGGTCATTTATAAATAAGTCAAAAATATTTTACAAAATGTTTATTGAATTATGATTTATGTTAGATAACAAAGTTAGAAATTAAACTAAATTAACAAAGCCGCAATCTTTGCTAAAAATAATTATTACTATCAATCAAACTTTGGTATCAGAAAATATGATTTTAAACAGTACCACCTAGTACCGGACATTTCAAAATAACCTGCGTTGATCGCATATGTAGCCATCTCCACGCTCTGGAATGTCTGCACATCTATCTTTGACGAAAATTCTTAGATATTGCAAAAAAGTCACTATTCATACACCCTTTTGGCTGGGCCACACCGATGCTCTCAGCTGGTGCTTTCACCATAAGCTTTTCATTCTTCGACTAGGAAATACGAAAAATTGGGGTATGTAGTGACCGTTAGCACTCATACAGAACAAAATTAAATAATTGGAATAAATTACGTAAATTCTCGAAAGAAATATTAATATGTTTTCTGTCCGGCACTAATGGACGACTTAGTGTCTGGTGCTAAGGGACATTTTCGTTCATTTGGTGTCACCTACAAAAATTGGTTGAAGTATCTAATAATATTCTACCATTTTACGGATAACGATCAATACAACTTTTATCTTTGCATACCACTCAAATGTAAATGCATGAATATGCTAGAATTACTTCCAATGATATTTAGGTGACGCCGTGATTTTGCGCCTAAAACAGAAAAGGGTTGTTCTCGCCGTGGCCGTGTGCGTCACAGGCGAGGTTTGGCGCATGATCCTGTACCTGTGTGTCCCCCATGCCACCTTTACTTGTATTTTGAAATGAAAAGATTTATACTTGCTTAAATAATACGTGTTAAATAGAGAGTCCGGTGCTTGGTGCCGTCCGGCGTTACGGGACTTCTCCCTATACTTGTAAATATTGTTTCTTACTTTGAACAATTGGTTTCTTGTTGCGGAAAACTATTATTAAATGCAAATGCTTCAACGTTCTGAATAATTATTTGATATTATATCTATTAATTGTGGATATTACATCTTGATAATAATTCCAAAATACACTTTATGTACCTTAATGGATTCAAATACAGGAAGAGAGTAATGAGTTTCTAGTACCCGAATGCGCAAATTCTGATTTCTCCTGCTCGGCGCAGCGTACCGCGTTTTGCCGCTATTTTAATTTGAGCCGTGTACAACGCCCGAATCCAAAATTTATGAGCTTGAATACTTGATATGCGTATAAGTTACCCCACTTTAGCCGAGATCTTCTTGCTTTTAATATTTGTATATTGTACTCTTTGAGAGGTAACAGAAAAAAGAACAATTGTATGTACAGACAAGGCAAAATTTTTAAATTTACTCTCAACAAAACAGGCGGGATATCATCATAAAAGAATTTTGTAAATTGTTGAATTGTTGAATTGATTAAAGTAAATGACCTACTTTGGACCATCTTAATTTTGCAATTACTAGCTTCTGATTTTGAATACTATATCACCCCAGACTGAAATGTTATACCTATTTCAAGGAACAAGTAAATATTTTAATAATTGCTAGTGAATGAGCTTTCACGAGCGGATAAGATGTTTTACAGTTGCGCATATCTGAAGACTGCAATGTCCGGCGCATATTTGATCTATTCTTGACTGAAAAATAAATCTATCCTACAAGAAGATATTACGTTGTTATATAATTCAGAAGCTGAGCTATTTTCGTTGGCACTGAAAGCATAATACAATAGATCCAGTTTTATCTATGCCCATTTGAACGCACTTTGACGAGAAATTTATGAATACGGAAAACGTGAAGTAATAAATTTACACATTAAAAAGCACTCAAGTATAGTTATGATATGAATTTGATGTTTTATGTGTACCTGAATTTTCTATGGATTTTTAAAGTCGTTGTGGATTATTATATCGCGTGTGCCGAGAGATTATCTGGTTTCAAAAAATCTGGTGAACAACAAGTTTGGCAAAAAAACAAACAACCAGTGGTGCATGGCATCGTGCCTTAAGGCAAATGGCTGGAACTTCCCCGTACCGAAAACTAAATTATTAAAAAACAACTTTGCAAAACTTTGAAAAAATTAGATTTTTGAGAAATGTTGAAATTTTTGAAAAAATTGAAATTATTTTTTTATGCTTTGATTTTCTTGATTTTTTTGCAAATTTTGAACAAATTTATTAAGCAATCGCAAATAACATTATTTTTTACTTTTTTCATTGGGTCTCCGGAGACGCTGGCCTGCCTTTACAAAAATTTTACCTGTTGTTCATTTTGTCAATACAAGTAAAGTCCATTGTTTGTAAGGTATGCCAAAATAATCATATACAAATTTTCATTTTCGTTTTTTTTTTGCGATGACTATAACTTATCTTATGGTAAGTTAAAAATGGATAAAGTATAAATAGCCAAATTGACGTAGACTATAAAATAATCTATATAAAATAATCTATATTATCGTATGATTAAATACAATATTTAAAAGTCTAGAAAAACACGTATCACTAGGCCATGGAATTTGCACAAACTCACTTCGACATTTTAGATACTTTTGTTTCAATCAATTGCTTTTATCAATAAATATGTTGAATATCTCTGATTACTTTATTTGCATACTTCAAAATACCTGTTCTGAAATTGCTAATATTTTGAGAGGAAAATTTTAATGTGATAGAATATGATCGTAGTCTAAAGGGTGCAACTCATTGAATTGTAATAAGGTGTAACTTTTATAATTATTATTATTATACTTTATAATTATTTGAGGTAATTTTTCTCGGCAAACTCAAAATTCTCATAAATTTACATACAAATTCTGGAGTTTTTGCCAACCAAGCCTGGACTTTGAAGAGGTCATCTACCGCTGACTTTTTTATAATTAAGATTAATTTTTTTATCAATTTCCAGCAAACGAGCAATAAATTGTAAACCGCCATAAAATCATTCCCATATCCGTATGTGATTTGCAAAAATACCAATATACACAATATTGCCAGCATCGCAATACATATGAAAGTTCGCTCTTGTGATTGAAAAACTTTTGCATGCGACTCTCATGCGGTATGGCGTATTTCTAAATAGGAATATAAAATCGAATGTGATATGAATATTTAAAGAGATTCCCATCATGAACGTCGACGAAGCATCGATCGTCGAAATGTATAAATACGCTCTAGAAAAAGATTTTCTCATTGCGAGACGATCGCGACGATTATTTTTAGATTGGCAAATTAGAATTTAATGGAGAGTTTAGACTTGCAAATTCTATAAGTGCGATAGGAGTAATCGAATAAAAAGTAAATGAATTCATCTATAATAGATGAAGTGAAATTTAAATAATTTAGTTATTTCGTTCTATAATCTAATAATGTTAGTTTTATCTTTATTATAAACGTACCTTATTGTTTGGGTTGGATCAATAAGTCTGCGATATATATTTTATCTTTCATTTTTAATATGAAGTTTCATTGAAGAATTTTTTTTTATTTGTATAGTTTTATTTTATTTAAGATCGTATGGCCAATTTTTTTTAATCTTCGTGTGGGATATTCCTCGCTTAATTCTTTTGAATATGTTTGGGTAACCTGGTAGTTTTTCGTGGTATTTTTTGCTCCTTTCTTTTATCATTTAATATATTTATATTTCATTAATAGTTTTTATTTTTAGGTCTTTATGTAGGGTATCGTATCATATCGTTCACAATGCATCTTAAAATTTTCGATTGCGCTATTTGTATTTTTTTATATTTGAATTGCTTGCGCACGCCCATAGCTCAATTCCGTATGTCCAGATTGGGATAATTATTGTTTTATATAAAAGGAGTTTGTTTTCATAGCACACATTTGAACTCCTGCCAATATTGAAAAATAATGATATGAAATCTTAAGTGACTTATGGATATAAGTAATTCTAAAATTATTTATTTATAAATTAATTTATATATCTACGTTTATATGTCTACGCGTAAAGTTTCCGCGAATGAACGAATGTTGAACTTACACCCTACGAATTGGCGAAATTACTCCGACCCAAGTTTTGCTCTAACACTGCATGCATTGCATATGAAGTTTTCAAATTAAATGATCAGGACTTAAAACTTGTCTGTACATATACAGAAATAGAGCAAGCAGCTCCGTAGTAAATTGGTTAGCAATAAGAACATACGCAGAGTGAATTAATCTCAACGGGATTATACGCTTTGAAATTTCGTTGGCTAACTTGAACAAAATGCCATTCATAGCAATTCCACAGAGTTTGCATTGAATTAATTAATACCGCGCCAAATTTATAATTGGTCCTTGGATAGAAGTGCTAGAGATATCAAATAACTAATTAATGTCACACTTGATTTCAGTAATACTTGATTGGTACCAAAGTAATAGTAAATTAAATATATATATATATATATATATATATATCTATATATATATATATATATATATAAATGAAGGTATGTCTGTGTTATCCTAAGCATTCATAACTACACAACCAATCGTAGTAAAAATGTGGGGACCTAGGTTTTATGCATTGAAAGCAAGTAAAGTTGAAAACCCCGAATTTATTTTTTATTTTTGAGCCAATTTTATTTCTTCATAAACGTATATAAAAGCACAAAGAAACCTAAATTTTACTCTCTTACCACAAACACATTTTGTAAGAATTATTATAATAATTACATCATTTTTATCTCGATTTTTGTTAGTGAACGCTGTTGACTGAATTTCGATTGAATATTTGAACTTATGAAAAAGTTCAATGTTACACAAAAAATGAATACCATCAAAAGTTGTCCAATCTTAAAACTTATTATC